AGGTAGAGGTGGTCCAGCTTTCCAGCCAGGGTTCAAACAATGCAATAAAGTTTTCTCACAATTGCCACATTTGAATAAAGTCTTCTCACAAGACAGAAATTGGACTAGATGCATAACTGAATAGAAAGGAAACTGAGCTAGATCCACAATTGAATCACAAGATGGAGTCAGTGTGGGTCACTCAATTCCCTCACTACTCAAGTCTAAAAATGGGGATATGTCCTGGCCTGTTCTTTGCTGTGCAACCAATGGATTGAAATGTGTTGGGGCCCTCCCCTAGTTGTGTCTAGATCTCCATGCACAGGCTTTGTCCAAATCCAGACTACTTCCTCTGCATGTGAAGTTCTTGCTTGTTTGTTATTCATGTGTCCAACTTGTCTCAATGATTGTGGAATCAATGAAGCCACTTGGTGATCTCCATCACCCTCACTGTGAGAGTTAAACCCTTCCCCAGCTCAACGTAACAGAAACTCCAGACAAAATTTCTCAGACAATTAGCATAGACTTTTTTGCTATTATTGTTATTTATCTTGCTTCTCAAACAAGCTCCTCAGGGCCTAAATATCTAAACCTCCTCCACCCCAAGGGGTGGCTAATTTGTTTTTTGAGTCAATCACACTGTTCCTTTCTTGATTCACTGAACGAGGTCTTATTTCATAAAGAGATCAAGAGATAGGTTAATTTTTACAATAATTTTAACATCTCATTAACTAACATTCTGGCATATCACAGACTATATCCACTGAGGTAAGGGGAGGGGAGAACCCACATCTGCTTTCCTTTACATTGATTAAAAACTTCAATTTTTTTTTTGTGAGCTACATGCTTTCAAAGAGAGTTGGTATCTGCATATATGGTGGAGCCTGAGCTTGATTTTCCAATTTTCCCGGGTTTTCTGTTTGTGGTCTCCGAGTTTTAGAAATCTCCCAAATTGAATCTGGATCTAGAAGGTTGGGAGAGCCTCTGAAAGAGGGGTTATATTAATTTTAGGTACCTAGGTTAATGAGGGCTAAAGGCCAAGTTGTCAAGAAGAATTTATTAAGCTCCTACTATGTGACAGCCATTAAGCCCTGGAAATACAAATACAGGCAGAAAAATAATCCTTGCCCTCAAGGAGCTTACATTTCTAACGGGCAAAGATAACATATAAAAGGAGGCTAAAATGGGTATGTGGGAAGAGACAAGGTGCAGTAAAAATAACTTTTAGTACCTTAATCAGATAGTTTGTCAAATTAGTATAACTGATAATGTAGTGAGAATAAGTTATATTACCTTAATAGCATAATAACTTAGCATGATGATTCCATTTTGGTTTTAGCTTCCATTTTACAAGTACAATTTTTTGAGTAATTTGTTTTTCAATAATAACATAAGCACCTGTGTGGTATGATGGAGTAAGCAATACGTGTAGGTTCTCAGACAACTGATAAACATGTGTAGACGTTCCACTAAGACCGCCAATGGAAAAATATTGCAAACAACTGTATCAGTAATTTTGAAATAAACTACCCATCAAATGATGTGGTAACCCACTTAGGAAAGTCCATCACTAAAAGTATAAAAACCTAGCCCTTGGCCAGTTCCTAGGGCACCACTAAGACTGGCTCCTGCTTTCCCCATATTTGAAACCCACGCAGGCTGTGTTGGCTTGAGGGCAGTGTTGATTGACAGAGGTGTGCCAGATGACCTTGCCAGGGAGATACAGGCCTCTAGCTGGACAGAGAGGGAAACTTGTGAGTCTGGCATGAAGGCCGCTTATCTGAGTCTATGAGACACAGATTGGTAGTTTGTTCTTGGGGAGTACTGTTTGCATGCTTTGATTAATAAAGATTGATTGGCTGCATTGAGAAATATAAGTCTAATTAACATATCTGTCCATTAGTTAAGGGTAAATCAGATATCAGTGTACATCATAGGTTATATGAGCCCCAGTGCACTGTGACATACCAGAGAAAGTCTGGAAAGTCTGGAAAAGAATGAAGATGTGGTTGTCCAAGACACCTTCCAAGTGAGGTTCTGGGAGGAACTAGCCAATCAGAAGGAAAGGCCACTAGAGAAGTGGGTAATCTCCTTTTTTTTTTTTTTTATTTTATGGCTTTATTTTTCTCTATTTTTTTAAATTTAATTTTCAGTTCCAAAATTTCCCCCTCCATCTTCTCCCTGCCACTGAGAAAGCAAGAAAAATGAACTCGTTGCAAATATTTTTGATATGCAAAACAAATTTCTGCATCAGCCTTGTTCCAAGAAAAAAAAAGCGAAAACAAAGACCTCTGAGTTTATCCGTTCTTTTTCTAAAGATGGATAGTTAATGAGTCTTTCAGAGTTGTGGTTGGTCATTGTGTTGATCAGTTACCAGTTGAAGAGGGTGCTTTCTAGGATGTGAAGCCCAGGTGGGGTGAACTTCCCAGGGAAAGAAGTTTCTATCCTTTCTCAAGATGTTGATGTTGGAGGAACTCTTAAGCTCATTACACCAGTCCCTTTTGCATGGTACAAAAATCCCTATTTCTAGGGGAAGGTAGAAGGAATTTGAACAGAGGATCTCTACAGAATCAGAAAGCGAGCTCTAGATTCAGAAGGGAAACTTCAATTTCTTCTAAAAGGAAAAAGCAAAACAAAACCTAATGTAGAACAACCAGACAGTCCATGTTGAATACACTAAGTCAAAGAGTTTCGTTTCATTTTATTTTCACTCCTCCATCCAACCTTGTGGTGATGTAATTTCATAACCCAGTTACTTAACGGTAGAGGAAATAAGGAAATCTCCTTATCTGCTTGGTAGGCTTGATATCTGGGCTTATGGAGGCTGGTCTCTTGACAAAAGCAGAAAGCTTCTCAATTAGCTCCAAGGTCACACACAGGTTAAACTGACTAGAAACAAAATCCCAAAGCACAACTACTAGGCTCAATTATTAAATTGACTTTTTTATGCCCATATTAGCATTGGTACAGAAGAAAGTAGGCCAGATTTAGAATCAAAGGATGTGGGTTCAAATCCCAGTTCTGACACTAACTTCTTATATAAATGTGGACAGATCACTTAATCTCCTTTGAACACAGTTTCCTAATCTGTAGAATTAGCGTCAGAGTAGATGACTTCAAAGGTGCCTTCCAGTTCTAAGTCTATAATTTAATTGAGTTAAGTAGTCATGACATAGTGATGACTAGAGAGCATGGTATAGTCACACAGGGGTGGGAAGCCTTTGGCCTGGAGGCCACATGTGGCCCTCTAGGTCCTCAAATGAGGCCCTTTAACTGAATCCAAACTTCACAGAACAAATCCCCTTAATAAAAGGATTTGTTCTGTAAAACTTGGACTCAGTCAAAAGACCACACCCGAGGACCTAGAAGGCCACATGTGACCTTGAGGCCACAGGTTCCCCATCCCTGGTAGTAGATAGAAATCTAGTCTCGGTGTCATGAAAACCCGGATCCAAGGCCTACCTATGACATAACTGCCTGTGTGTCAATCATTTAACCTTTCAGCGCCCCAGTAAACCCCGTAAAACTTGTTCATCTGCATTGATGGAGAGAATGTTCTCACTGAGAGTTCTCTTATTAGAAAAATCACAGCTCTAGATGAAATTTAAAAAATTGATGATAACATTAATTGATATCAATTAATAAATGATATTTCAGTTTTGGATTCATATGCTACCTCTCTTTAGAGGATTTCAACATTAAATAACTACTTCCCTTTTAGAAGTGACATCTGTTTCCTAAGCCAACGATGTATAACTAACAGCTGTTGCACTAATATTTTAGGTACAATGTCGGGGGAGGGCCTGCTCCTTTCCTATTCTATACTTTTATTAATAATTTTATAAACTTCCCAAAGGGTAGAGAGAGAATTCCTTACGAACCCAGGCCATTGCCTCTGGCCACGAGTGGGCCAGCCTACTGAATGATGTAACTGGCATAGCTGATGGCATCTTCAAGGGAAAGAGGGCAAAAAAAAAAAAAAAAGAAGAAGAAGAAGAAGAGAAGGGAAGCCGTGGAATGAAAGAGATGGGGACTGGAGGAGAGGGTGATGGACCAAAGCAAAGGCACTGTCATGGTCTGAGTAGATTCTGTTCCTGATCCTTTTCCTGGTTAGAAGAGAGAGAGTGAAAAAAAAAAAAGAGTGAAAATTATGCTGCTAGCCAGCCAACATTACTCTCCATAAGGATTACACATGTATCCTTATTAAAGTTCATCATATTTAATTTGGTTCGATGCTAAGATTATATTATTGATCATGGATTTAGAACTGGAAAAGTCCACAGAAGTCATCTGGTTCAAGTCCCTCATTTTCCAGATGAGAAACTTGAAGCCCAGAGAGGATAACTAAACATTGTAAAGAGCTTTTAGGGTCCCCTCTCTGTCATCCAGTGTTATCTATGCTTCCCAGCTTTGTGTAACCTTCCAATTTGACAGGTACATCAGCTTTTTCTTTATCATTGATAAAAATGTTAAACTTCTTAAGTTAAGCACAGATCTCAGGGCATTCCATTATAGACTTCCTTACTAGTTGGCACTGAGCTATTAATGACTCTTCTTTGGGTCTTATCATTCCATCAGTACAATATCCTGTTGTACTGTACTATACTATCATATGGCCCACGTCTTTCCATCTTATCCAAAGAGTTAGTGTAAAAGTCTTTGTCAGGAAGATGTAACAGCATTTTATTCTTTGTAGGGTCCTTCTTTACTTTGCCTGCTTTAGAAACGTTGACCCCAAAAGTGCCAACTTAAAGAGGTGGTAACTGAAACATGTCTGTAGACATTTTAGCCTGAATCCACTCTAATTTAGAGTAAATTTATATTTTACCTAATACAGCAATCATTCAGACTATTGTTGTTCAATAATTTCAGTCATTCTTTGTGACCCCATTTGGGGTTTTCTTGGCAAAGATGCTGGAATAGTTTGCCATTTCCTTCCCCAGCTCATTTTACAGATGAGGAAACTGAGGCAAATTGGGGTAAGTGACTTGCCCAGGGTCACACAACTAGTAAGTATCAGAGGCCAGATTTGAACTCAGAGAAGTCTTTCTGACTGGCATTCTATCCGTTGTGCCACCTACCTGCCCAATCATTCATATAAGACACATCTACTGAGCACTAAATTCAATTACAAAACCAAGTGCTGGTCTCATTGCTTCAGTCTTTGTGTTGTAACAGTCTGTGAAATAGTTGATCTTGAGCTGATACGGACAACCCAGAAAATTACTCAAGATGGTTTGCAAAACAGCTTTATAAGTTGGAATCAAAGAAGAATAGTGGGGAAAAAACAGCAGGAGTTACAGACTCCTGGACCAAGCTGATTGAGGATATATGCATCTAACACTGCCTCTCTCCCCTCTTCTTATATTCTGAAATGAAAACAACCTATTTTCCATTTAATTTCTCTCCCATCAGGATGCTGTGACTTTCAGAAACCTTTCTTCTCCTATCAGAAAATAATTGGTGAAGGATTAGTGAGGGAACTCAGCAAAACAGGGTTGACAATTGAGCAAAGTATTGAATGAAGACCACAGTAAAACATTAAAGAAGAGAGGTCATGAGTGGCTTCTTCTGACAAAGAAGCAAATACAGCTAAAAATGAGAAGGTTACATCACTGCTGCTGAAAGACACACACACACACACACACACACACACACACACACACACACATACACACAGAGAATTGTGAGGTAATATATAGCTGTTCTCTGGTCTATTCCATGCAAAAAGGTTTTACATTTTTCTCAGATGGGAAGGGAGGGGCATGGGGAAGGAAGCACAGTGTCTTTAAATAAGCAGTTTGTACCAAATACTTTTTTTCTTTTTTGGCAAAGGAATTTTGGCAAAATGCACAATTTGCTCTTTTTTTTTTTTTTAGTCCACTTTAAGATGAATCAAGGTCAGGAGCAAGGAGTTGACTGCGGGGATGATACATGATTTACAAGATAGCTGTCACAGCACCTCCTGATCGGAAAAAGAAGCAATCCCTGGAATTGCAATGTTTAGGAGGACAACATCATAGAGGCTATTGGTAGTACCCTTCGTAGCACTTGTGAAGAAATGGATTAAAACAGTCAGGATCTGTCTGCCATAAGAGCAGCCTATGAGCCCTGCTTCTTTTCTTTGTCAATTCATTTCCTGCTCTGTCACCCAACTCTCATTCGCCATTACCTGAAAGTACTTAGTAGAAGGTTTAGCAGAGAAGCTCATAGTCTAAGGCTGCAGAAAGCCTCAGATTAATCCCTACTTGTTGTCCTTACCTGTTTCCCTATCCCTTCTCCTGGATCTTTTACCTCTATTGACCCCTTTTCTGACTGGAGTCATAACCCTTTGTTTACTAATTTCTTTTCCTGGAAATTTGATTTCTGTTATACGAACTGTCTCATAGACCTACTCCCTGCCTTGACTTTTAAAGTTAGCTTTGCCCTATAAGCTTTACCCTACCAATTGATTTTGGCCCACATCTTGGTCTTGACCTTGGGTTCTAGAACACTCCCCAATTCTGGATTGCTATTTTTTTTTCTAGATTCCATGATCCCCTTAAATATTGGTTTGCAAGTTCTTTCTGAGCCTGGGTAATTCTGGGATAGGCCCTGACTTTCCTCTAGCTTCCTCTCAACCTTTGTTTAGCTCCTAATTCCAGATTTTTGCCTAGTCATTGAGTCCCTGAGGTTTCCCATGTTTAGAATGAACAAAACCTACCAAAAGAACAATCCCATTATTATCTAGCTATTCAACTATAAGTTTGGTAGTGAAGACATTTTTCATTTAGAATCATGAACACTGAGGGACTTCCCACCTCTCACATCAGCCTAGCAAAATATCTGAAAAGAAGCCCAGAAAATAGACCTAAGGGAAACAGAAGAACACTCCTTCAACCAGTTCAAAACTGCACAAAAAAGGAGTGGCAAAGGCTGGTGGAAGGTGATGTGAAAGAACTCAGTACTCACTCAGATAAATGCAGATGGCAGTCAGGGCAGGGAGAAGAGGAAATCACTAGGGAAATCACCAAGGAAATCAGGCGAGATCCTCAAATGACCTGAACCTAGCTCATGCTGTGGAAACAGCGGTTGCAGTCCATTGCCAGCACCAGTAATATGGGACTGGAAGCCAAATCTTAGAACAGAACCAGATCCCATAGGTCACTGTGCTGGGAGACAAGACCCAGATGGACTCTTCTCAGAGCACTAGGAACCATGGCAGGAGACAGAGCCAACTCAGAACCTGGGTACTAGTAGAAAGCAAGGAAGTAGGGCTGTGAAGGAGGCCTGAGACTAACATGATCCCCACTATCACACTGGGGTCTGTCAGGGCCAGTGTAAGGGATAGAACCAATTCCTTGCTGGGGATTGTGCCAAGAAAAAGAAGATAGAAACTGGCTCAGGTAAAAATACTCACTGGACCACTAGGAGAGTGAGATGGAAGGTGTCCAGGATCAGTTATCTTATCTATATCAGCAGCTAAATCAGTATCTGGACTCCAGAGGGGACAGGATTTCTTGGGATGGGGACAAGAGGAGAGGAGACAGATCCAAGTACAAAATCCCAATCCAAGAACTAATGATAAAGCATGAGGAAAAAGAAAACCAAACCAAACCAAAAAAAACCCAAACAAACAAACCCAAAACACTGAACATAATGATGAAATACTGTGGGTTAGAAGAAGCCCAAGAGATAAACCCAGAAGATTAAAGTAACCTCAAAACAACTATTAGCAAAACCTCAAATTTTAAAAAAATAAAATAGTTTGGCCACACAGATTATTATAATTGTTTTTGTTCAGTCATTTCAGTTGTGTCCAACTCTTCATGACCCCATTTGGGGTGCTATTGGCAAAGATACTAGAGTGGTTTGCCATTTCGTTTTCCTGCTCATTTAATATATGAGGAACTGAGGTCAATAGGGTTAAGTGACATGGCCAGGATCACACAGCTAGTATGTGTCTGAGGCCAGATTTGAACTCAAGAAGAAAAGTCTTTCTGACTTTAGGCCTAGTGAGCTATCCATTGAGTCACTAATGGCCCTACACATTATGATGGTTGGAAGAAACAAAATAAGAGATGAGATGAAGTTATAAATCTAGAGTTGTGGAGGAAAATGGAAAGGAAAACAAACTTCTTGAAAGCAAAAAAGAAAAATGTTAGTTATGTAGTAGACTCTGCAAAACAGAATGCAGCAAATAATTCAATGACTCAATGAGGCAACAAGAAATAATCACAATAAAATCAAAAGACTAGAGGGGAAATTCTACTTGAAATACTACTTTGATCTTACTATCAAAAAAACCTGACCTAGACAGTAAGTCAAGGAGAGATCATTTAAGAATCATTGGGCTACCCAAAAACCATTGACCAAACAAAAAACAAACATGGATACCATGTTTCAAGAAATCTTTTTTTTTTAAATAAACTGTCTACGTTTGTGAATCAGAGGACAAAATAGAGATAGGAAGAAGAGAAAAAAAGAAAATAGAAAGTCTAAGGTCACTTACCTTTTTTCAAGGGCTATGTCACATTACTTTACATTGAAATTGAAATTCAATTAAAGCTCCAAGATCTTAAAAAAATTTTTAATACTATGAAATGTTGTGTAAAACACAAATGAAGGACTTTACTATCAAATCAAATTTTCTGACACTTGGATCTCCTTGGATGATAATCCTATTATCCAAAATATTAGCTACTTCTCCCAACTTCATGTCATCCACAAATTTGACAAGTATGCTGTCTGAGCCAACCCTGGATCTGGGAATATATGAGTTCAAATCTAGCCCCAGACCCTTCCTAACTCAGTGATTCTGGGTAAGTCACTTAACCTCTCTCTGCCTCAATTTCTTCTTCTTAAAGTGGGAAAAATAACAGCATCTACTTCTTAGAGCTGTTGTGAACTTCAAATGCTATAAAATCTGTAAAGCACTTTGTAAACCTTAAAGTACTATGTATAAATTAGTTTTTATTATATTAGCTATTGATGATGATGATGATGATGATATATAGCCCACAGATGCATGATTATCTTTCAAAACACTTGTTTCCAGAATCTGGTAAAAAAAAATCTGGTGGTCTGTCAAAGATTGCAATGGGCTAGTTGTTCTTTTATCTTTTTATCTTTAACCTTTTATTTCTTAGTTGTTTCATAGCATTGCTTTCTTGCTCTAGAATAACCATGTTCCCTTATTCAAACTTCATTGCATTTTCACTCTTGGTCTCTGTAATTTGATGCTCACACTAAAATTACAAACTCAGAAGACTTTTCTTTTTGTTATAAATCATATATTTGATGACTATTTCCCACAATAGCCAGGGTGTCTCCCAACACCAAGTTGCCCCTTAGTCCTTGCAATTAAGTTTGCCAGATGATTTCAGGGTCAGTAGCCTTCAGGCTCTGTACAAATCCAGGATCTGGTCCTCTAAGACTATTTCTTAATCTGTTGCATTTTTCTAAACCAGAGGCCTGACAATTCTGTAATGATTCTGACATCTCAGTGATCCAAGCTTCCTGTGTTTGTTGGCCAGAATATGTTCCCTTCCAAGGAAATTCCTAACTTAGGCTACCAACATCCCTCTGCCATGGAATATATAACCTGAATCTTGCAGGATATATAGGATGATAGCAGAGATGGAAAGGTCAAGTGAGGGTTTTTTGAGAATGGGAGGAGACATGAGCATATTTGTAGGTAGCAGGGAAGGAACCAGAAGACAGGGAAAGATAGAAGGTAAGTGAGAAAGTGGGGATGACAGAGGCAGTGATCTATTAGAGAAGATGAGAGGGATTGAGGTCACTTGTGAAGGTAGAGGGGTTTACCTCAGCAAAGAATAGGGGCACCACTTTGTGTGAGATATGAGGAAGAAGGAAGAAGAGGGAGTTCTTGGTAGCCTTAATTTTTTCAATAAAATATAGGGCAAGGTTCTCAGATGAAAGGATGAGGATAGGTTTGAGGAGGGATGAAAAGATTTAGAAGAACTGCTGTGGAGAGTGGGATAGTGAGTTGATAAGAGAGGTTTAGAAAGATTGTCTAGTAGCAGTAAGATCCCAGTTGAGAAAGTATAACACAAATTTGTAGTAAATCTAGTCAGATCAACTTTGTGATTTTCTCCATCTTTGTTCAGTATCACGCATGAAGGAGTGAAAGCACTGGATAGTGGGAGTGATGTAAGGCTGAGGCTTGGCAGGACACAATGGGCAATATTATAAGGGGTCTAGGGATGCAAGAAAAGAAGACAGTGTTGAGTCGAACTGAATTACCAAGGATTCAAGAAAGAGAAAAGAATAGAAAGTAGTTAGTGCAGGAGAGACAGCCTGATACAAACCCACCACCATCAGGACGCATTTCAATTACACATTGCCAAAATTTTACCAAACTTTCTCTCAAAAACTGATAATCATTTTTATTCATACCTCAGTCACTACTTGAATGATTTCTCTCTCTCTCTCTCTCTCTCTCTCTCTCTCTCTCTCTCTCTCTCTCTCTCACTCCCCTATCCATTAGTTTTGCCCTCTAAATTCTTAAACTAGCTACATGCAAATGAGTAGAGCACTAAATTCTCAATATAATCCTCCATTTCACTTAGGTCTGAAACTATTTATTCGTATTCACATTTTTCCATTTTTTAAAAAACTTCTTTCTCTTTCTTTAAAGCATCAAACTGTTCATATACAGAAGAAGTATCATCCTGCAACTTAGAAGGTATTTAAGTCTTTACATTTACATTTTTTTCTGTCCCAAACTGCTCAAATCTCATGTGAAAACCAGTTTTCTTTATATACATATTTTAGCAACCAAAAGTTCTTTTCACACTCCTTTTCAGGAATCAAAATGTTCATCTGTGACAGAAGCAATAATTTAAACCTTCTGCCAGTTGATTTAAATCTTTTGCTTTACATAAAAATGCTTTTTCTGTCCCTTTTAACATCAAACTGCTACATATGAATGGTCAATACCTGAAAAAGACAGTACTGTATGAAAAGGAAAGACGGTATATTTAACCCCCAAAAGACTTGCCCAGGACTAATTTTCCCTTATCTGTTACACTGTGTATTATGGAGGAGTACTGAGCCCATAGGCAAAACTTTTCCTGCCTAAAACTTTGGCTGTGGAGATTCTTAAATTACAGAGAAAACCCACAGAGCAGAAATGTCAAACATGCCCACAACACTCCCAAGTGTAGCCCAAACCAGATTAAAATGTAATTGGGAAATACTGAGCAAAAATAAAAATACAATCAAACACAAATATTACATTTTAAAATTAAGTCAATATACAACGGGCAGGAATTCTTATTACAGATCAGTGGCCTCTGTTTCTATTTTAGTTGGACCCCACTAACATAGAGCAAGGATCTTCAACGACTTCTGGTTTAGGACTATGACTCTATAGATTTGATGATGATTATCATCAATTCATAACAGGTATGGGCTTGGACACAATAGAAAGTCACAAAAGTTTAAGAATTTAGAGGCAAAACTAAGGGGGGAGTAGTGAGTGAGTGAGAGAGAGAGAGAGAGAGAGAGAGAGAGAGAGAGAGAGAAAGAGAGAGAGATCATTCAAGTAGTGACTGAGGTATGAATAAAAATGATTATCAGTTTTTGAGAGAAAGTTTGGTAAAATTTTGGCAATGTGTAATTGAAATGTGTAAGGTAACATATTGAGGGGATATTGGACAAAGGTAACATCCTGAGTGGAATTCTATCAAAGTCGTTGCCTTAGACTGCATTTTGGCAGGGAATCCACACACTGAGAGCAATCATGAGGGCTACATCTATTTAACTTGTGCTTAGATTTGTGTTTGATTTATGTTACAGGAGAAACTGGAGAAGTGGTTATATGTGTAGCCAGACGACAATACAAACATAATATGGATGAAATATGTGCCATACATCTAATTGCATGCTCATTGATTAGTTATTATATTGTTGGATGTTTCCATTTTATCACTTCGCTGATAATTGTGTATTTGCTTATGTCCTCATACCATGCATTATGGTAGCTACAACTATTAGGTAAGAGTAAATTGTCTTAGCATTAATACTTATGCTTATTTTATTTTTATGTAGGCATTCTGATATTGTTAAAGATTTCCTTTCTTTTTATGCTTATTTGCTGGTATACTATAGATATACATATACTATCATGGGATGTGCATGTAATATGTCTGGAATATAGTTTAGCTATCTAGCCACTGATGGGATGCTTTATGTTGCACTATATATACTATATATATTATTAATGTACATTTGAAATAAATGGGCCTGGGAGAGGAGTACCTATGCAGTTGCAATAATCATCCTTATCATTTTAAATGATGTTTCTTTTCACACTTATGACATATTTGTAGATGGCAAGTATACCTCAGGATATTGCAAGGTTCTGAATCCACCTGAGCCCCAGTTTCCTCATTTATAAAATGAAGGATTTGGACTAGATAACGACTGAGATCTCTTCCAGCCCTAAATCTGTACCGTAGGAGGATTGAAGATGTGGGAGCTGGAAGGTGATGGGACATTTTTCTTTAAGAAGTTTTCTACTTTTTGGTGGATTGGCAAGAATAATGAAATTCCCAAGAAGAAAATATCAGAGATTTGACCTTGAGGGTTTTTTTTTAAAAAAAGGAAAATGGCAGAGGCTGGAGCCAAGACAAAATCTTAGCTGAGATTTACTTGCTGAATTCACATTCACATGTTTTCCCACTGAGTTGAGCTGTGGGCTTAGAGGCTGTATGCCCATGATCATGTTAAGAAAAATAGAGTCCCCCAACCCCAACCTCAGTTGATGAGAAGACCAGATGCATACTTTAGATCTGTTTACTCTTACAGTGCTATTATTGTCTGGTGTTCCCATTATGCTTGTGACACTCCATTAAAAGTCATGTGGCTATTTGAATCAATGTCATTTCTGCTTCCTTTATTGGATGCAGATAATTGGGAATGGTATGAGACTCAATGGGAAAAGGGTTTAAATTACTGAGGATCTGTTAATCAGATTTGGACCTGCCAAAACAACCTGGCTGGGAATTTGGGTGTATGGATTATTCCAGCCCTTTTCAGGGCTGCTCACCCACCTTTGGTGTCCACCTCTCACTCAATTCTCACCTGAGGCTCCAAGAAGCTATGGCATGAATAGCGACCACACCCCAGCAGATGGGCTAAACTAGATTGAGATCTCAACAGGTCTTAAACCCATTGGTGAGGTACATACCCCAAGCATGTGAAGACTTCCCCTGCCAGAATGGGTGGATAAGAACATTCCAACAGCCATGAAGGCAGCTGAAGCAGACACTGTGAAGTGCTTAGAGCTTGGTCAGACATCGAAGATGCCAAGGGCATCCACTACATCCTGGGTCACTACCAGTCATCCTGACTTTTGTCTTGCCACTGGATTTCGATGACCCTGGGAGAGTGAGGCTTATGACTTTGTGCAACTCTGCCTCACTTAAATCAAATTTACAAGCAAATCAAGATATCACCTTGTGATGTCATTCATGCCATTGGTCTCTTTCAAAAATGAAAGATAATACATATAGTAGATATAAGAATAACAACAAATAATATGAAAGGACCACAGAGGGACAGAGAGAATACTTGTTAGGGCCATATTCCTCTGAGGACAACCAATAAAAACTACTGAGGTGGTCAGGCAAGGGAAGGGAGAAATTGTCTATTTTTCCCTTTTCCTAAGAAAAGTTCATACTGGACCTCAAAAGAGAAACACAGCTCCCAGAATGAGTGCAGGGTGAATCTGAAGCCTTGCCCCTGAATGAAACTGAAGGCCGTTGCTCTCCAGCACCACCTAGTGAGTTATATACTCAAACAAAGATGGCAGTACCCTTTTTTTTTTTTGCATCATATTGTTGTGTTGAAGTTGTGCTCAGCTAAAATCCTTAATTCTCTTTCACAAACACTGATTTTTAACCAGATGATTCCCATCCTTTATGGCACAGGTGAGTATTTGGAGGGAGCAAAAGGAATAAGCATTTCTATAGCACCTATTATATGCCAGGAATTGTGCTAAGCACTTTTTACAAATATTATCTCATTTGATCCTCACAATGACCCTGTGTAGTAGGTGTTGTTATTATCCCCATCATATAGTTGAATAAATTGAGGCAAACAGAGGCTAAGTGATTTCACCAGGGTCATACAGTGAGTAAGTGTCTGAAGCTGGATTTGAAATAAAATTCAGGTCTTCCTGACTCCAAGTCTAGTGGAAACTAAGCATAGGAGTGTATAGTTATTATTCCTACTAACATTCATCTTATTAGATTTGGTTCATCACACTAGTTTGCTGGAATCTTCTTGGGTCTCAGTAGTAGCTATCTTGGATGTCATCAGTTAAAAAAAAAAGTCTAAATTTGGAGTTCTAACGCTGTTCCTTATTACTATGACCTTGGACGAATAATTTGTTTATCTAGGCCTTAATTTTCTCATTTGTAAAATGAGGATATTGGACTGCATGATCTCTATGGTCCTTCCACCTTTTTATCATCTAGAAACTGGATGAAAATACTACCTATGCTGTCACCCAAGTCACTGATTAAAAATATGTAAACATAATTAAGGACAGAATCTTAAGGCATTCCACAATTAATGTCCAGGTTGACATTAGACCATTAATCAATTCTCTAAGGGTATATTTACTCAGGAATAAATCCACATCTCTCAATCTTGTACATAAGATTTTTATAAGGTACTATGTCAGTTGCCTTTCTGAAATCTAGAGAGGCTGTATCTACAGTATTCTGATGATCTACCAGTCTTATATTCCCATAAAAAAAAGGAAATGAACTTGGTCTTACCTGAATGTTTTTAGTGAACTCATGCCAGCTCTGGTAATCTAATATAAACCTTTCTATATATGCTCATAATCAGTAGATTAATCAGTATGTACTATGCACAAAAGCACCATTCTAAACACTAGGGATTCAAAAGACAAAAAAAAAAAAAAAGAAAATTCCCACTCTCAAGGAGCTTGCATTCTATTGGGAGAGATTTGTTATATGTCAACATATACAGAAGGAACACAAAATAGGTGGCAACTAGGTGGTGCAGTGGATAGAGCACTGGCCCTAGAGTCAGGAGGACCTGAGTTCAAAGCCGGCCTCAGACCAAACACTTAACACTTAGTAGCTGTGTGACCCTGGGCAAGTCACTTAACCCCAATTGCCTAAAAAAAGAAAAAGAAAAAAAAAGAACACAGAATAAATAGTAGTTAAATACAATGCGATTATGGAGGAAAGGCACTAACAGTTGGGGGAATAGGAAAGGTTCATGTAAAAATATGGTGCTTGTCCTAAATCTTAAAGGAAGTGAGAGATTGTATGAGGTAGAGATATAGAGGGAGTGAAATTCAAGTATGGGGAGATGGTCAAGGCAAAGGCATGGAGACAGGAGATGGCATGCTGTGTCTGAAGAACATAAAGGTCATTTTGGCTGGACCAGAGGAAGAGAAAGGGAATAGTGTAGAACGAGTCTGGAAAGACAGGGTGGAGATAGGTCATATAGGGCTTTAAAAGCGAAACAGAAGAGTCAATAGCTTACCCTAGAAGCAATAGAAAGCCATTGCAGTTGACTGAGTGGTGGGGAGTGGGGAGGGAGGGAGAGGGATGACATAGCCAGATCTATGCTCAAGGAAAATCACTTAGGCAACTATGTGGAGGGTAGAGGGAGGAACAGAGACACTTCAGTAGGCATTTGCCTGCCCAAGTTAAAATCGATGAGGACCCAAACTAAGGTGGTCGTGTGTGAGTAGTGAAAAGGGGTCAGATACCAGAGATATGAAGGTAGAAACAAAGATTTTTACAAGTGTTTGAATGTGAGGGTAAAGGAGTGTGAGCAGGCACCAAAATTAAAAATGTGAAAGACAGGGAGAATGGTGATGCCCTTGACAGTTACGGAGTTTCAGGAGAAGGGAGTAGGGACTTCTTTAGTAGAAGACTGGGTTTGAGAGGAAAGTGATGTTTAGGACATGTTGAATTTGAGATTTACATTTAATCAATGAGCATGTATTATGCATTTTATATGTGCCAGGCACTGTCCCCCACACTAGGGATAAAAAAGGGATAAAAAAAAATAGACAAAAAATGATCCTTGACCTTATATTCTAATGACAGAACATGCAAATAAACAGATACATACAAGATAGATACAAAGTAGATGGAAGGCAACTTTAGAGGTTCAGGTTCTAGTATCTGGGAAGGATAGGGGCACTTAAAGGAATCTAGAGATTCTAAGAGGCAAAAGGAGAACACTTCAGGCACGGAAGGGAGTAGAGCATAAAGTATACTGGAAAGATAGAAAGAAGCCTAGTAGTGAAGAGCTTTAAATGACAAACAAAAGAATTTACATTGGGTTCTGGAGATAATAGTGGGGCAACTACACTTTATTAAGTAGGGAAATGACAGGAAAATTACTTTGGCAATTGTGTGGAGGTTATATTAGACAAGAGAAAGACTTGGGGAAGAGAAACTAATTTGAAGGCTATTGCAATGTCCAGATGAGACACTGAGAAGGCCTGAACTAAGGTGGTGACTGCATGAGTGGAGAAAAGGGACATATATGAGAGATGCCATGAAAATAGAAATTACAAGATTTGGAACCTAATTGAATTTGTGGGATCAGTGAATAAGGAGTCCAGGATAACACTGAGGTTGTGAACCTGGATGTTTGGAAGGATGGTGTGCCTTCAACAGTAAAAGGGTAAAAGTTTGGGAGGAATGATAGTAAGTTCCATTTTGTAAATGTTTAATTTGAAATTCAAAACACTCAGTATGAAATGCCTATGGTCAGCTGGTGATATAAGACTAAAGCTTAGGAGAGAGACAAGGTTGATATTTAGAGTATTCCAAAAGTATTAAAATTCCATTTAAACTTTTAAAGCTTAATTACAAATGCCAAATACTATTATGAAGCTATTAAAATTTACAGCTGCACCAAAGTTTTTGGGATGCCCTATATAAATTTGAGAATCTGCACAGAGATGATAATTGAACTCAAGGAAACTACTA